TTGCAGACTCCTCTTGCACCATTTGGGTTGATATGAGAGGATTTCAAAGGGAGATCAGTATCAGTCCACTTGACAGAGTAACTTCCAAAGAACTAAAATCTCTTATTACTCAAGGAGAAGCATGACATCTTTGCAGCTTGGAAGTTAAACTGGATGAAATGGCCAAGGAAATCAAAACCATGGACAGAAGGGATTGTGACCACAGGATGGCAGTCTTGCCTGGGATACAATATTAAATCAATAATCCAACTTGGTTGCTGGCTGCTTTCTTCATTCCCTTGTTGCACTGATTGCATTATTATATTCAAGGCATAGTACACACAAAATTAAAAGCAGCTTAAGCAAATTGAAATGACGGCATGCGGAGGACCTTGCGGAGGAGTTGTTCCCCAGGTCACACTGCTTAGCGACTGACAGGTTTCTTTACCTTGCCATTTGGCTTGCTTGTCTGAATCATCTGAATCTACAGATTAAACCAATAGGTTGCACTTGACCATCTTCCTCTCTGGTCTAAGTAAGCTAATGGGTTTGGACAGGAGGCTGCACTTGTTAGTTGGATACTTTCTAGTCCTGTGCAAGGTTTACCTGTTTGATCATCCTATATAAAGTCACTTGAAGGGGGTGGAATCAAAGATATGTAATTGTATTAACAGGTCCAGTGTGCCTCAGTTGTCATGGCTCCATCTTACAGAATGCTAGGATTTGAAGTTTGATAAGGCACTCCTGAAAGAAGCCCATCCAACCTCTGTTTAAAGATTGCCAAAGAAGGAAAGTCCACCATCCTCCAAGACAGTCCATGCCACAGTGCAAAGCACACTGCAGAAATCATCCAGTTTGAGACCGCTTTAACTGCCTGGGAACTGTAGTACTGTGAGATATTGAGCCTTCTCTGTCGGACAGCTCTGGTGCCACAATAAACTACAATTCCCAGGTTTCCCTAGCTCTGAGCCAGAGCAGTTAAAGCGGACTCAAGCTGGATGATTTCTGCAGTGTGTTTTGGACCATAGTAACAAAGTTCTTTTTAATACCTAGGTGGAATCTCTTTTCTTGTCTTTGGAACCCACTGCTTCATGGTCTAGTCACTGGAGCAGTAGAAAACAAGCTTGCTCCATCGCTTCGGGTTATTTTAAAAATGGCAATCATGTCACCTCACAGTCTTCTCTTCTCCAAGCTAAACCTATCTGCTCTCTAAGTTGTTTCACATCACACTTGGTTTCCAGATTTTTGATCATCTTGGCCACCTTTCTCTGGACACATTCCAGCTTGTTAATATCCTTCCTGATGGTTAGTGCCCAGAAACGGGCACCATATTCCAGGTGAGGTCAATATATCAGCATAGTTTAACAAAATGTTTTTACTGTAAGTAATGAAGCCTTAGGAGAGGTAGTTTTATGTGAGTTTTTCAGGCTGTGTGGCCATGTTCTAGAAGAGTTTCTTTCT